ATTCGATGTTGTCGTAAGCCCGAAACGGACGAAGGGATTCAAGTGGACAGTGAATATTGAGCATGCGACCCTCGAAGCTCTCAAAAATTCCATACGTGCAGTATACCAAACGCCAGCACTTGAAATGATGGAGCGGTGTTCAACATGGTATGCGACAGCGGAAAATACCCACCTCGAAATGACCAAGAATTTCGCGAAATGCTCCACCTTCTCATATCGAAAAACAGTTTCAAGTTTATCGTGTTTATAGAGACACCCTCGAAGCCTTTTGCAGAATGGACATTTCCAAAGATATGCCAACTGTATGGACTCGGTGAAACGGATGATCCGTCATTATCAGTATTCCCCTTTCATGTGTGAGTGCAAAAATCTAAAGACGAATCTTCCCAAGCAGTACTTAAACATCTTATAGCCGAACTGAAGGCATGCCTCAAGACCATTCCAATCAGTGGAAATGAAGCATCAAAATCGCAATACGTATGTCCCTACCTGATTGCCAGTGCAAATTTATTCGAAGGCAAGTTTAAGCCAAAGACATCAAGTTATGGAAAGTGAAAATTACTGACGATCGCGATTCTGAGTTAGCCAACCCTGCATTGGATGTCGAACTTCTGGCAACTCGGGACGTAGGAGATTACTGGACTGCACCACCAAAGCGACATATTCATATCATAGTCGAGCCACCGGTGCAAATCGCCAGTTCGAGCCGTGAACAGGAATTGTTCGACCGAACCGCGTTATTGGAGGCATCGATTAATAAGTCTGTCCATGGTGCGTATTTGTATAAAATTTCTTGGCAAAAAACCGTTCCCTCAGGGAACGATCAGACTATATCCTGAAAAAAGATTTTTTACTAATCAGCTGTTGTGCTCCGGCCAGAAAAAACATCTCAGGGCCAAATGGGCATGGTCCAGTCGATTTTGCGCTAGACTTACTCCGAACCGCAAGACCTGCTGGCGTGACAGAAGTCAAGGACGAAGATTTTTTCAAGGGTATCGCTCAAAATGCTGTCCAACTTGAATCAGCTTTGACGAACCGCAAGCGTAAGGCTAGCGAGATGGATGAAGAGGATGTGTTTGTGGGTAAGGTGTTCGGAATTGTCACAGATGCGAAAGAATGGTATTTTTTAGAGTGTTCGCTTGATGATCAAGAAAGGGCGAGATTTAAACTATCGAAACCGCTGGTTGTATATGAAAACGAGGATATGGAAGCTATGGTGGAAAGGGTCCTCGGTCATATTGCTTGGTTATTGGAAGAAGTACAAAAACCGGAGAGTTAAGGTGGATTAGCTTGTTGTGGCTTGATTTTTGTAATTACTGGCCTATTTATTATTAATAAATCACTCTGCGCTAACGCAGATCCGGAAATGTCAATCGTGTTGTGTGTTTCATTACCAGTATATTGATTATCTCTGCATACAGAAAAAACTAATGGTCGAACTAGATCCCAACCCTCAATTCATTTAATACAGGGTGTACAATATAGTTAATTCATCTATTGAAGCATCTCCTCAACACAAATTTTGTTTTGCGCGTGAATTTATAATGAAGCGACGAATTGGCTTTCTAGGAGTTATACACAAAGAAATGAGCGAGATATCAATTCAAGTGCCACCATGAACTCTATAAATCATTTAGCCGTAATGTATCAGTTTTCTCAATTGTGAAGACCCTAAAGAATAGGAACGTTCATTTTGACTTGGTCAAGGGCCCTGAGCGATTTCTCCCATGCAAGGTCTTATTTTGTAATATCGAAAATTTTTGAAGTCATGTGATGAAAATAAAACTTTATTTAAGGAATATATTAGCATTTTCCTGGATATAACAATATATCGATCGAGACTGAAAAGTTAC